CCTAAGCTGGGGGAACAGTAACATGTCACCCTCTGGTTCTAAGGCCAAGTGAGCTACCGGGCGTCTAGCCGATCGCAAGATCCTGTCGTCCGGTTGTGGGACCTCCCTGTCACTCATAGGCTACAACGCTGTACAGTTCCTGCACTAGGACACTCTTGATGCCTACCACAGCATGATGTACAAACCGATTTGTAATAAAATAAAATAAATAATCGGTGGCTATATCAGAGACTATACATTCGGGTCCAACGGGTAAGTCCAGATGCCTACAAACAAAGTACTTTGACTTTGACTAGCACAATGAACAAAGAACAGTTCTAAACTACGTTGTCTTTCAGATGTCAATGGGTGTACATCTAACTAATCAAAAATAAAAATAGAATCTTTTGTTGGGTCTGTTTGCAGAATGGAATCTTGCCCAAACTTATCACCTGGAATCTACCCCTCCCTCAGTTCTTCCTGAATTTCTTGTCGTCAAAGTCCCTGAGCAATCCGGACAGCGTGCGTGTCTAAAGGTGTGCACACGGCCCACCCCTGTGCCCCGAGTCCTGCTGAGCCGGCCAGCCCTGCACAGTCTTTATCCTCGCGTGCAGCGAGCCTTACACCGACCGATTGGCTGATCAGGAGGCGTTTATATGGACGGCCCCTGGAGTCCTCAGGAATTCTTTAACGTCGCAGACAGGACGACGATCACAGCCAATGGAAGGTACCCCGCCGGTGCTTATTTATAGACGCCCGGTCTCGTCTGTCCCATAGGGCTGGCCTGCCCCTCAGTACCCCTCTACAGCGCAGCGAGCAGACAAAGGACAATGCAGCAAAGCATGCGTGCTCTACTCCCGGGTGGTTGGCATGGTGACCGTGACCCAGTGCTTCGTCCAGGGCCCTTCACATAGCACCACCCTCTCCTTCCAGATGCTCCACGTGAAGATTGGCGACTCTCAAGGTTGAGCGCACACGACTCCTCACATGAGAGGACTCTCAAGACAGAACACACATCCTCACGGTAAGAAGTGTCGAAGAGGGTAGATAAGGTTAGGTGCAACATACCTCAAAATAGCTGCCCCCAACCACAGATATTCTCACCAGATGACCCGATGTTGATTGTGAGGACCAGTCGCCGCTTCGGCACAACCAGCATTGCACAACCGTTCCACCTCAGCATCAATCATACACCGGATAGTTCTCATCACACTGCGAACACCCAATAATCACCGCTTAGCCTTCCTGGCGAACCCCTCTCCACCTGGGTCGCCTACTTATCTTCGCCCTCCTCACTACACACGTTCCACGGCACGATCACTCACCGCACACACAGCGTGCATGTACCGCTTTAGGCAGAAGATAAGCGCCAGATTAGTGCAGCGAACCACATCTCTGATACCAAATTGCAAGGAAGATGAGCAATAGCGAACTTCAGCAATCAAACAGCATCACCTCGAACCAATAGCAGAATTGCATCATGAGTTTCACCAAATAAGAGCACACCAAAAGCTCATAATTGACAATGCTGGAATAGTCTCATCATCATCAACGAAGAACCAATGTTGATATCCTATCTGGCGCTCGGCGCCCAGA